CTCACTCTGCATGTGTGTGTGTGTGTGTGTGTGTGTGTGTGTGTGTGTGTGCGTTCCATAATACAATGATTTATTCTTTTAATTTTCATTCATTTTTCTTTTGAGCTTTTACAGTGGTTCATCAAGGTGATCATATATCACTTATTTGACAAGATAGGCTTTCACTTCTTCATTCATTTTATCCCCTCAACAAGGAAAATTCGGTAGGCTCTTATTTTGTGCTAATCAGAAAATGTTCCCATGTTTCCAAATAAGTTTTCATTCAAATGAGTTCGCAAGAAGCCACAGGTGCTGTTTTATCTGTTATGAGGACTTTCTTCTCTTTCTGGGCTGACAACTCACCATTTTTCATCCAAATTATACATGGCCAAGAGGATGTTTGAGGAAGACACAAATTTTTGTTTAGTTTCACATTGTGCAGCAATGTTTTCTTTGCAAAGACACAAGAGGAGAGTTGGAAAAATAGAAAATTTCCATAAATATTTGGACCATTATAGATTTATGATCCTCCGGAGTTTATAATGCAAACCATTCACTATATGATGCGTGGGAGTTCCCAGTACAGATAGTGGGCCAGGACTACCTGGAGCATTAATAAACCTGAGAGAACATGCAGTTGTAAATTTACTGGTCAAGTGGGAAGTAGATACACAATGGTGTGGCTGCTACGTTCAGCCTGGGTTAGGAAGAGAGGGTACAAATGGCAGCTCTTGTGAGTGCTGACATCAGTTTATGCAGATTCTGTTGGCTGTGCAATACTATGCTTTTACATTGTGGGTGTTTCATCATTTGTCTTAATTTGACTGACTTTTGTGGAATGAGTTCATGGGATTAAATCTGTTTTCAAGAGGCATTTCCAGAGGCTGAGTCTGAGAGACAGTTTTACTTTATAGTCCACAAAGGAGATGAAAATATAACTCCCTCCTCCCCGGCCTTGGAGAGAAGAGGGCGACTGAATTATACACTGAAGGCTTTTTGTGCAATTTAGTTTATATGCTTAACCTTTGGAAGGACTATTTGTTGCTATCATTTGAAAGTTTTATTTCTGAAGGCTGAGATAACCTAATCATAAAGCCCACTGACTTTGGGGACATTGAGTTTACAGTTAGCAATTATAATGGCAGGCAGTATTCTTCTTATCTTTTTCTGTATGCATAAAAATAAGAAACTCTCAAGGTTACTATCTCTAGGGCTCTTAGGTGATCACAGAAGGGATAAAATTCTAAGATGCCTTGCTTGTGATGATAAATATTACATAAGTTATATATAATTTGATCATAAATAGTATATAACTCAGACAGAGGCTGTCAATTAAAAAAAGAAATTTTATGTCATTTTTCTTTCAGTTGTATAATTTAATTTATTTTTTCTGTTTGTTCTTTAGCATCAATATCACCAAGGCATAATGTTTCATTCTGAACATTTTTTTTATTTTAAAGAAGAAGCAACAAATGGTGTAGAGCTGGCCAGATAGCTCAGTGGACTAAAGCACCTGCTTAGGCAGTCCCAGGGACCAGGGTTTGATCCCCCTGGTATGCTTTGCCAGCCCCACCCCCAGCTTGTGCTGAGACGGCAATTGAGACTGAGTATGGTCTCAGGAGGATCACTATGAGTCTGATCTGTGTAGTGAGACCCTGTAGATCCTGTACTAAATACACAAAAGAGTGTACAATTTCAAAACAAGATTGTAGGAAAGTAACACTGGTTAGTACATTGCATATAGTTATTTTTAAATAGTTGCTCATATTACAAGTTAAAGGTATAAAAAACTGATCAAATGATACAGGCACAAGCCTTTCTTTTCAATGAACTAAAATCAAGTAGTAGTCCAACTATCATAAACATATATATA